AAATTAAAATATATACTACTTAAAGAATATAGAAGAAACAACTCCATTATAGCACTGAACCATTATAAAACTTTGCGCAAATTAATTAAATCCCAAATTCGTCTAGCACACAAAGAGTATATAGATAATATTGAAACGTCTCTAGCCATTGACCCAAAACAATTGTGGTCTTTTGTAAAGACCAAAAATAATATTTCTAGGATCCCGGGTCAAATGAAACACGATGACGCACACTTTAACAAGCCAAATGAAATCGTCAATGCTTTTATGTCTTATTTTACATCAGTCTACACCAGCTCTACTGGAATGTCTGGGGCAACAAACAACATTAACAACCTCCCGCCTATTCATTTACCCTACATTACCGATGCAATGGTGGCGACTGCTATTGATAGTTTAAAAAACAAACAAACTGAGGGTTTTGATAAAATACCTGTTTTTCTTCTAAAATTCTTAAAGAATATGCTAATATATCCCTTACGCGTCATATTTAATCTAGCACTCACTTCTTGTACATTTCCTACATATTGGAAGGTTGCCAAGATATGCCCTGTTCTCAAGTCAGGAGAAGCATCTGAAATTTCCAACTACCGTCCTATCAGTATCTTATCAAGTTTCTCGAAAGTGTTTGAGATAGTTATTTACAATTATATTTTCCCCCTGTTTGTAGCCTAATATCTCTACATCAACATGGCTTTATGCAAAAAAGATCAACGGTGACCAACTTGGCTTGTTTTACCGAGTATTGTACGCACGCTTTGGACGAATCTCAACAAGTTGACGTGATGTACGCTGATTTTTCTAAAGCGTTCGATACCATTGACCACCAAATAATAATTCACAAGTTGAAAAACTTTGGTTTTAACGATCATTTTCAAGCTTTCTTTAAGTCTTATCTAAAAGATCGCCGTCAGTTTGTGACGTATAATGGTTATAATTCCCATATGCTTCGAGCGAGTTCTGGTGTCCCTCAGGGGTCTAACCTTGGACCTCTGTTGTTCTTACTTTTTATAAATGACATATCATCCGCTTTCTCTGTTAACCACCTCCTTTTCGCTGATGACCTTAAAATGTTCGTCAAAGTATCTTCAATAAAGGATTGTCTTGTAATGCAAGAAAACATAAATGCTCTAAGCAGATGGTGCCTACTAAATAAACTTAAATTAAATATTAACAAATGTAAGGTCTTAACGTTTTCAAGGAAACGCGAACCAATATGCTTCACGTATAATATTGATGGAATGATTTTAGACTGCGCGTCGCACATCAAGGATTTAGGTGTCATTTTTGATAATCAACTTAGTTTTAGATATCATATTCATTTCATCTGTTCATCTGCAATGCGTGTATTAGGTTTCATTATTAGAAATTGTAAATCCTTCACCAACGTTAACGCTCTGATTAGGTTATACTGTGCCCTTGTTCGCTCTAAACTTGAATATTGTGATCTTATATGGTATCCCGTTTATGAAGTATACAAGAATGATCTTGAAAACGTTCAACGTAAATTTCTCAAATATCTCTCGTTCAAAATTGATGGTTATTATCCTCCTCAAGGTGTTCCTCAAAAAGCTCTTTTGGAACGTTTTAGGCTTGATTCTTTACAGCATAGACGGGTAGTTAATAGCGTAAAATTTTTATATAAGCTCCTTCATAACGATATTGATTGTCCGGACCTTCTATCTCAGATTAAATTCTTGGTCCCATCATATCGAACAAGATGTCCTCTCACTTTTGTTTACCCGACTCCCAATACTAACCTCCTTCGTAAAGCTCCATTCTTTACAATGGCTCTCAACTTCAATGCAATTGGTCATAGTTGTGATATTAACTTCAATTCTCTGGCGTACATTTTACGGTTAGTACAAACACATTGTAGTGAATAGTATTATTTAGTAACCTAGGAGTAACGCTATACTTTGTTTATGGCTAGGTTTGTTTTTTTTTTCTTTTTTTTGTCATAAGTATTATATTTATATGTTAGGAATTAACTTGTAGTCCTAATTGTTTCACTTCTCACTTATCACGGTTAAAACAAGTATTACTTTTTTTTCTTTTTTTTTTCTTTCTATAGTCATTATTCTGATTTTGTCACTGTAATTATTAAATTATCAAATGTAGCTTAGCCACTAAGTGAATTTATAACTGAATATTGTTCAATTATGGACCCGAGTGTCTGTCGAACAATAAATTCCATTATTATTATATTATTATTATGATGAATGAGCATATACAGGGTGGTGACTTGCGTAACGCATCATAGGGATTTCAATGTAAAATTCATAACATGCGATTATTGGCTCCCCAAATTATTTTTTCTATTTCGGTGTCACAATGATGATTTTGTACAACTGTTTTCGGCCGAAAAAAGCGGTTTCCCATTATAACAATTTACAATAAATGTTCGAATAAGTCACCATTAACTGCAAGAGAGTAACTAAGTCGATCATAAAATCCATTTCGAACTGCTCCTAGTTGTTAACTGGATATCTTTTTGTTTTAGAAAATTCCATGGCATCGCAGATTATTGAAAAAGATGCGGGTTTTATTTTTCCAATTTTCCGTATTTATATGAAAAAAATTGAAAACTAATACGGTTGATTGGCGTAAAAATTTTTTTCTTCAAAAAACCTTAATACATTTTTACTGTATAATAATTTGGGGAGCCAATAATCGCATGTTATGAATTTTACATTGAAATCCCTATGATGCGTTACGCATCATAGGCATATGCTCATTCATCATAAATCTTTCACAGAAATAATTCTTATCCCTTTCATGAACAAACTGTAAACTAAAAATACCTAAACTCTGGAACGCCGACGCGAACATAAAGTAATCGGTCTTTAAGCTTGAAGGTCACTAAAATAGAACAGTATGTAGGTACCTAGAAAAGGCTAGAAGACACGGATAGGTAAATTTTCGAGAACAGATAATTTGAAGATCAAAACGTGGCTCGTCATCTATTAAAATCTATAAAATTAAGGTTAGATATAATTATAAAATTGGATAAAGGGTTAAAACGTAAGAAATGAATGCACTTCGATACAAATTTTGTACGTACTCAAGTATTTCTTGTTGCTTTCGGTTGCAGTTCTAGAAGCGTACCTAAATATGGAGTTCCTGTTTTGATAGTGTTCAATGTCGCTACACTGGAGAGATTCCGTAGGGGTTGTAATGTAAGAGATAGACCGTCACTTCTACCTGGCACTAGCTGACCCGACGGACCCTCCTTCTTAGCTATGAATACCTATTCAAATCGAACTGGAATAAATAATAACAAAAAATTATTTCGAAAAATTTGCTATGGCTAGTACAGGTACCACCCTCCTCACCTGTGCATTCGCGATTCTGCCCTTTTATGTCTAAGAATATGTGTAGCAAATTTGGTTTAAATTGGTTCAACCGTTTAGCCGGAAAATAGATTTTGACACACGTGACCCAAAATCTCCCCATCTCTCCCCAAAATAATAAAAAATAAACGCACTCACTTCTAGTTGTTTTTTGCGATTCAGAGCTAGCAACGTACCGTTGTTTTTGTTGCACCAAATGCCGTAATTTGAAAGCAATTATTGTATTTTTGAATATGAGTCAAAATTGTATAGAATCTTGCGGATGCGTGAAGTTAGCACGGATGTTTTGTGCCAATCGTTTGTGCTTCGTTTGTGCTCGATTGTTCACGAAAAAGTAAACCAGCACGTCCACCCCTTTTTGAGGTACAGGGTACCAATTTTCCGTGCTAACTTCACACCACTTTTGGAAGAACAAACGAAATGTTTTGTGCCAATCGTTAGTGCTTGATTGTGTACGAAAAAAAATCCAGCACATCCACCCCTTTTTGAGGTGCGGGGTATGTACCCCTTTTCCGTGCCAACTTCTTTTTACATTTTATTGTGAAAGGTGTCCATTTTAACATATTCAAAATCCCCTTAATTAAGTCAAAATCCAAGATGGCCGTTGAATTTTGTATTTTTCCCTAAAAAAATTATAACTGTTGTTATTTCACTGAAATTTGGAAAATATGTATAAAATACAAAGGTAAATTGCCTCTATTACACACTAGAGAAAACTTAATTACACATTACACTTAAAAGAACAAAAAAAAACATTATTTAAAAATATGGATCATTTTCCATTCTTGAACAAAAATTAAATTGATTTGTCTGCTTTTCCACAATTCATCATATTCAATCGGCATTAGGACTCGGACATTGGACCACAAGAGAGTAGACCGGAAAGGGAATAGACCGCAGTGGACATTAGGACACAGACATTGGGACGCGGATATTAGGACGCTGGAAGGGAGTTTCATTACTTACGTAGGTACTCCATTTTTAGTTTTTTACAGTGGCTCGATTAGTTGGCGAGAAATGTAGCTTTAAAGTTTCAAAATTTAGAAATGAATAAGCTAACAAATGTATTGCTCTAGATGACTTTCATAGAATAATACAATCTTGATTCAAATATGTTTGAAGACCTCAATAGGCATTGTCGAGCATTTGGCGATCATTCTTTTACAAACTTTTGTTGGAACACCTTGTATAAAAGTTAGATATACATTTTCCCTCAATCACATAACTACTAAACAATTAAAAAATTATATTTACCAGTTCAGGACATCTAAACCTTAAGCATTGTTTAACAATGTCCTTAAGTGAGTACCTACAATAAAAAAAATAATTTTTGATTAACAATAATAATTTATTTACAAATGTAAATTAATGTAAATTACATAGGTATTTAGAGCTATCTAATGGCTCATGTTATAGCATTTGCAAACCCTGAAACCGATTTAAACCAGAATTTAGCTTTTATCTATAGTCTGACCTACATATTAACCTATTATGAACAAATTAACATAAATGCAATTAAACTGCACTTTCGCGTATTTTGTAATAAAGGCAAATTTTAGGATAAGTATTACCCACGGTGGTATAGACGTGTTACCCAATTCATTCAATGACAGGTATTATATTTGAGCGACAATTACAGAGATTTTATCAAATTAAGGTAATGCAACAATACATAGTCAAGGTTCATGGAATCTTTAACATATTTCTCAAGGTCTTTGAGATTACACTCATCTCAGTTAAGTGTACCATTAAAATAGGAAGAACAGCAAAATTTAAACCAAAATTAGGTCATAATCTTATACACAAATTTGATCTCGACCTTTACAGTTATTGGAAGTAGAATGATGTACAATTAAGCGTAAAATCCTGGCCGTCCATTGCCTTGAAGTAAGCAAATTAACGAGAAGCTATGATGAGTTGATGACCATTTTTTTTGGAAAGATGTGTCTCTGTACAAACATATTACTGAAACTAGGCCGCATATTTTTTCGATGAAGCTAATTGTGTAAAGGCCAGCCAATCTATTCAATTGAACAGCTTTATCTAATAACCTACAAACAAATTGTAAAATTCATACACCTGCGGATGGTCTAGACTCTGAAAATGGGGTGCACACGATTTTCCTAAAGGAAGTTAATATCATCAGGCAATCTTTATTGTTATGTAATAATTTAATCTTGACAATAACAGCCAAAATTAATCGGTTGATGTTGAACATCGATCACATTACTTACACAAAGCATAGATAATAGTTACGTAAGTATGTCACGCATGCATGTGCAGCGTCCTTGTGCGGCATTCATCCCTAGACATTGAAATTAGGTGTCAGTGGGTGTCCTACAAATTAATTGGACAAATTCAAGGTAATACCCCTCCAAATATTGCTAAAACAATACCATTTTATGTATAAAAACATTCAGTTTAGTATCACATTAATTAGTCTAAAGTTGACAATAAACGCACAATTGTAGCTAAGTTTTTGAGAATGGATAAAGTGTGGTTTATTGTGTTTGTGCTTTTTGTAGTTAGTGTCGTTAGTGTGCCACTAAAGGTAATCTGAAGTGTATGTGGTGAATGCTGCTACTAATCTCAGATTTCGATGCTTTCAGGATACAAACAGAGCTAGGAAAGGAAAAAATTTTTATGATGACAATATTTTACACCCCAGCAGCGATTGCAACTGCGGTAAGTAGTTTTCACAATATTCCCAAACAAACCATTTGTCTATAGTATGTGGAATGAGCGACAGACAGATAAGAGTAGTCGGAGGGAACGTGACAAAGGAAAATGAATTTCCGTGGCTTGCTGGAATGGCGAAAAATGGAGAATTTCACTGTGGAGGAACGCTTATTACAAGAAAACACGTGTTAACCGCTGCTCATTGTGTTGACGGGTATGTACACTCCCTAAACAATTTAAAACTCTTCTCACATTAACTATCTAGAATAAACTATCGTACAATATCAATCGCGTTTGGTGACCACGATCGCAAAGATAAAGAACGGTTTAGTAAGATACAAGTTAGAAAAATCAAAAAAGTGGTTCCGCATAAATTGTTTGACAGATCAACTTACAATAATGATATAGCGATATTGGAACTGGATCATCCATTACATTTCGATTCCAAGATTCAACCAGCGTGTCTCCCTCATTCAGGTAAACTATGGATGTTTGGTTACATTCTAGTAATGATAGTTAAAATAAATTCAGCTGTGACCGATTATTCTGGAAAATGGGCAATCGTAGCAGGTTGGGGTAAAACTGGGGAAAAACAGGAAAGTTCGACTATCCTTAGAAAGGCGATTGTTCCGATATGGCCAAAGAAAGATTGCTACAACTCCGGATATGGTGAGGAGCGACTATCGGAGAACATGTTCTGTGCCGGGTTTGAAGAAGGGAAGATTGACGCTTGTCAGGTATGTACATTTTGGATCACAAACAGTTTGTAACATAAATAATTTGGCAGGGAGACAGTGGTGGCCCTCTTCACGTCAAGAATCCTAACGGCATTATGGATGTAGTTGGTACGACTCTTTGTGTAATATATTGCATTATTGTATTTTATTCACGAAATTGCAGGTATTGTATCATGGGGACGAGGCTGTGGAAGAGCCACACTGCCCGGTATATACACTAAAATCATAAACTACTTAGATTGGATTTTGGAAGGTTTAAATGGTGAATGCTTATGCCCTCCACCTCCAACGTCCAACCAAAATTTACGGCGAGCGTAAACTTGAACACCTACGCAACAAAATTTGTTGATACTAGTCACTAGATATTTAATTTAAGTAAGTTGTGCCTCACGACTTTACTTCATGAAGTGCCATTTCTTAAAAGTATTTTATTAGTTCTATGATGATCTCAATTAGGCTAGAAAGAATATTAATCTAATCAGCACGTGCCATTTTGAAAAGGATCTATCCGATTTTACTGTTTCGATTGATGACAAGTAAATACTATAACCAAAGTGAATAGAATTTGTCTGTTTTATTCAATTTCTCCTAATTTGTTGCCGCAGATATTCTATTTATTTCACGTCCAAAAATGCTTATTGGGGCCAGTGCCGGTTAGGCACGATTTGCACGTGCATAGGGGCGTCGACCATTTAAGGGGGCCAGGTCCACCACCTGGTACCGATTCAAATTTTAGATTACGTACGTTATGAGTACTACGCACACTTTGAACGCAATTACTATTCACTGCTGTTGGATTTGGATAGAATGGATGGGATGGGATGTACAGTACGTTGAAACTTGAGAACGACTTCTTAAGAAATTCTCTCAACAGTGTTAGGCTTAATGGCCTTCGTGAACCCAGTTCATTCAGTTGTCATCTGGAACGCGAACAGCCTATACTATAAGCACGATGAACTGCATAAGGTGTTATTTAACCAAGAACATTGACGTCAGATTAATCTAAGAAACCTACCACTTCGCTGAAATTAATCTCAAAATTCCCGGTTATGCTCTGTTAAGTGCAGAAACGATCGCCCAAATAGTAGGGGAGGTGGCACGGTTACTGACATTCACCGAAACATTAACCATACTTAACTCGATTCCAACTAGGTTCGGCATATCGAAACCACCCTGGTTATCGATAAAACGTCAGATGTGTTACTGAAGATAGTATCGACCTGTAAACCACCATAAACTCCGCAACGAGCACGAATTGGATGCGTTATTTAACGATGGAGTACCTACATTCATTGGAGGAGACTTTAATGCGAAACACCCTTCATGGTAGTCGGACAACAAATCCGTAAGGCTGTACCACTTTGCCAAATGAATTCTCCAAGTTTTGTAAATGGCGATCGGAAAACTCCTTGAAGATTATTAACGAAAACATTCTTTTGGCGTATTTTAGTGAACGATCTAAGCAGGGAAAACCGTCTTGTTTGTGGACCTACTACTCCATGCCATTGTTTAAGTATTTAAACAATGTCCATGCTTAGATCCATGCTGCGTGTGCGAGAGAACCTAAGACATTTCAAGCTATTATTTATACACATTATTATTAGAATTTGGACAATAATAAGACGTTCTTTTTTGATTATAGTTATGGGCAATTGAAAACGTTTTTAAAAATAAGAATCAGGGATTTAAGCCCAAGAAGTCTAAGATTCGCCATTCACTGTCTGAGGGAAATCTGAAAAGTACCAAGATGTATTTCAAAATGTTGTTTCACACACAATTGCTACGACAGTATGGATCTGTATCACAACCTACAAAATGAATTAAGTTAAGTATCGTGAAAGAAGACCATTTTAAGAAATATAACGTGGTTACCACCTATGAAATGTCATCTCGTTCCTTCTGTAGGTTTTGACTGATTACACGATTGACAGTCAAGCCAAGCAAACAAGTCCATCAAGACGGCGGTGGTTTGGTGTCGCTGTATTTTAGAAGTACAGTCTGTGGCAATAGTGTTTGGCGGTAAATTTAAACTTGTTGTATTTTTCATTTTTTATGCGGCGACGTTTGGAAACTGGAGAAAGAAATTTATTGCAAGAATTACAAACCAAAACAACAAAATAGTTATTACTAATGACCTAGCAGTGTGTATTTAAAACTAATTAAACAGTATCCTCTTCACTGATTTTAGAACCTTATTCTGATGTACCAGTGCTCAACGTGAAATATAAACTTTCTACAGCTTCATCTAACAATCCTTGGCGTTGCCACATTTCTTCTTCCAATCTCTTAACGTGGTTCATCTCGTCTCCCGACATACTTTTCTATTTGATGATGAGATACTATGTGCATTTTCAATTCATTTCAATTTACTTCCTCCTGCTTCAGTCAGTTTTATATAAACCTCTCGCCAGGAAAGAACACTTGATCCCGGTCTACAATCTATGTTTTTCTAAAGATGTGAGCGACTTCCAGGATAGTATCGTGACAATGTTGAACAAAAAGACTTTTCTTTCAACATTGGCACGATCCTATTCCGGAAGTCGCTCGCATCTTAAGAAAAACATATGGATTGTAGATCGACACAAGGTGTGCTGTGACCGGCAATCTTTCCTGGCGAGAGTTATACATCAGTTTCATCTTCTGCTAGCAAGCACTCCACATAATGGATGGATGTAGGTTTCGTCTAAAAATGTCATCGGTTTCTTGTTTTTCCCTAAAAAATCGTTTTCTTTCATTCTTCGTTCCATTCATAATTTTCGCTTATTGTGATGACATTTGTTGTATTTACAGCCGCTTCTTAGTGTAACTTTACCTCCACTGTAGCCAGTTTTCTCCTTCATTTTACTAACTAAATTATTGATCTTCGGGACTATGTTATGGGTCATGTAAATTTCATTCTTCATGACACCTAAATCAGAATTATCCAATGTTATTTTGTAGGAAGTCCCACTTCGTCGCTTATTTGAAGGAAATTTCCATATCCTATCATCGGCAAGTTTGGCTTCGATCTATCGGATAACAATAAGTATCTATTTAGTTCAGAGGAATATTAATGAAATGCACATTACCTAATCTTGGTCATGAATTTTGTTGATTTGCGTCGCAGGGGCAGCTAGCCCTGTACCCTTTCCCAAAGGAAATATCTACACACCGGCAACTATCTCTTTGTGTAACCCTTTTGATAACATTCCTGACTTCGGAATGCACAGGTTTGTTTCTCTTTTCTTTCCGTACGGATAAAATTGGTGCACAAGCGGATTTTATAAACATATAATCTATAAATGTGTCACTGTCACATTTTTTACGGACTGTACATGTCTGCGATGTACGTATTGGCTTAACGTTTTCCCGCCACGAATTCTTTTTAATTAGTTCGCATATTTTCCCAGGAACTTGTTTGCTTGATGGAGCTGTAGTATTTTAACCATCATGTAAATTATCAATAAAAAATAAATAAAGTTTATTGTTAGCCACATCTGCGTTTTATCCAACGACAAACACGCTGCTTATTTACAAGACCGTGGGCAAAGCGCCAATGCGATAAGCGATACAGCCCTTCCAGATAGTGCAAAATCGGTTACTATATAATGTTTATTTATTTATTTATTGTCCCTCTTTTGTTCTGGACCTTTAACAGGCTTGCGCCCAATTACAAAGTGACCCGAATAATGCGTTTTCCCCTGAAGAAGGTCTTAAATTGTTCTATTCTACTCCGGTATTTACCTTACAAATTAGAGAAACTGCAGGAAAACCAAATTCGGAGTCACAGCGAAGTTTCTTGAAACCGCCGCGTGCCACCCGAACCCAGAAGTCGCGAGAACTTGGGACCAAAATCCGGCACCGTCCTCTGCCCCTTGCGATGAAGATATAGAGGGTCGAAGACCCGTGGTATTAAATTATCTGATGAAGACAAGTTTGTTTTCATTCAACGTTCGGTAACATCAGACGTCTTTAAACTCGCTATTCTTGCTCTTATTTTAATTACAATTTGTTTATTTATTTTGCCTTTATTTTTGAGTGGGCGGGGTTTCAGCCAAGACTGTTCTACCAACCCAACCCACTATACATTTACCAATATCCTTCCCCGAACCCGGACAGTCCAGCTTCTACTGACGCCACATGAGCCGGCAATGACCCGCTTTATTTCCCCATCCTGAATGTACCCACGTAGTGCAGAATAAATATTAATTTATTCTATTTACTGAAATTATCTGAAATAAAGTTGCATTTCTGACCGCGCTTGTTACTTTATATTGCCAAAACCCTTTTAAATAAATGAAATAATTAATTTCCTTACAATGCTAAAACACACATTCACTCACCCAAAGTTGTTGCGTATCTATGATAAAATTATGCATTTTTTTTCTATTTTTAAGTTTAAAGTCGCGTCGGTTTCTAAGACCATTTGCGACCAATGTTAGGTTAAATCTTTTCAAACAATTCAATAATTCTTAAATAATTTGTTACATCTAGTAGTCTGTTGTTTTTTGTTAGTACTGTTAGGTCGTTTATAGCACAAGTATTTCTGTGTAGTACATATTTTGGACAGGTTATTAGTATATGTCGAACCGTTTCGCGTACGCCGCACGCACTACACAATGGTTGTTCTGCCTTTGTTATGTAATGTTCGTGTGTGTATCTCGTATGGCCTATCCGGAGTCTATTTAATTTTACTTGGTGGATTCGAGATTTCGGCTGTGGGAAGTGGTGAGCGCGAATTGGATGGATTTCTCTGAGGTCTGATTTCGATTGGTTCCATTTGGTTTGCAAATGTCCATGAATCGGTCTTTATTTGGGTTTTGTCTTGTATACTCTCTTCTATGGTGATTTTTGTTGATAATGGTGAGTTTAGTGCTTCTTTTGCTGCTCGATCTGCTTGTTCGTTTCCCGTTATTCCTACGTGCGATGGCGTGAACATGAAGGATACTTCTATTCCTTTTAACTTTAAGATGTGCAGTTGTGCTCTATATCGTAACACATTGGGGTTGGTGGGTAGACGTGCCGGAGGATGTGTGTACTGTTTAGAGAGTCTGTGCAGATAAGATATCGTCTTCTGTTTGGGATGGTCGCTATGTAGATAAGTGCCTCTTTGATGGCTACCATTTCTGCTACGCAGATGCTTGTCTCTGGTTGTATTTTGTACAAGCGTTCTTGTTGATTGTGGATGAAAGCTGCCGACACTTGATCTTTTAGTTTGGACGCGTCCGTATATATTTTTTCAAAGTTTTTGTAGTTCTCTAGTATACTGTTAAATGTTTGTTTTATTATTTGGGGATTGTCACTTTTTTGTGTGTATGCTCTTAGATGAGTGTTTATTTGTGGTAGTTCCATTGTCCATGGCGCTATTTTGTGTCGTGTAGGTGTGCTGATTTTCGGTAATGTGTAGTTTAAGTAGGAGGATATATTTTGGAGATGGATGTGTAGATGACTGTATGGGGTTAAGCAGGTGGTTTTGAACAGGATTAGACTGTACAAATTTCTGTGCATACGGAACGGAATCCCGAATCATTGTTATAGTATAAATGTTATCTTCATTACTGTTGACGTAGCAAGTTATTAAATAATATGGTAATTCTAAAGTATTTGTTACATTCAGGTGAAAAATACATTTAGTGGCCTCTTTTTTAAACACACTGAAAAACGGTCATACTGTTTCTCTAAACGCTATTGAACAGGTATTTGCCAAAACAACGGCGATCTGCAAGTAAAGAATTTCCATTATTGCGTTAGTATTGTAACGGAAACGCTCCAGACATGACGTCGCCTTTGGCGCTCTGGAATTTTCTACGCGCGCGATAGTGGGATTTGTATAGGAATATTCGAGACTATCCAGTAATTACGCGAGTGTTCTGGACTTACATTGCTTGCGTGTATAAATGATTGCGGACCGAACATCGCAGTAAGTTTTACTACCGAACGAGATCGAGTACCGACGAAACATTGAGCGCGAAAATCTGATATAAATTGCGAAGTGTGTAATATAAATAGTCGATATAAATTGTACAGTTTTTATAGTGTTTTAGTTTTGTTTAATAAACATTGATATAAATCGAACCTGAATTTATAAATCACGTTACAGTATTTTATTGTGTCGGTCCTTCTAGAGCAGTATTGTGGCGCCATCAAGTCGAAAACATTCGTTCCCTGAAATATGATGATATTGATAAATGTATAACGTATTTTCAGAACTTAGTAAACTGTAAACAACTTTTTCCCTACGTTCAAATATATGCAGTAAATCGGAATTTCAAATTTACCTGATTAGTAAAAATTTTGAACAGCTTGGTATTTCATGAAGGGTACGATTTTTCATTCGGGTATAGTGGAGATGAGGGAGGTTAAAAAAAATTGAATTCAAAAGTACTGTTAAACACGAGTATGTCTCCTTCGACGATCAGTAAGTCTATTAAAAATTGTTCGATGCGCCTCATATATTTTACTGTATTATTTTGTACTCGATACCGATTCCACTATAAAGTTCTGAGAGCAGTACGGACCCCAATTTGCACATAATAAATTTAATTCTACATTAGCCAATATTATAAAGGTCATATGAGCCATCACGCAACTACGCTCTATGCCCGCATAATTAAAAAAAATATCAAAAGACAATTTTACACACTTTGATTCGTTCTGTAATTAAAAACACGGAAAAACTCCAAATACGGTCACCTACATTTCTCTCTCTCAACTTAAAAATTGCATATTTACGGCAAATAATGTTAATTATACAATGACCGCATTTCTTTAATTTGATTCTGCGAAGGAAAGGTTGATTTGCAAAAATTAGGTGCAATAGATTTTTTCTGTGTTAATTTCGTGCATTTGATTGTACGACTAATATCGTTAAAGTAAGCGTGCCCAATGAGCGTAAAAAATTAAAACCAAACCGTTTAAAAATCAAAATCGTTGCTAAAAGGAAATAGTCGTTTTCTCTTTGATGTCAATCAAACAAGTTTACTATGTCCGCGCGTGAAGGTATTTATTACTAAAATACCCACTATAACAATTGCTTTCTTCAATGATTCGGTCTATTAAGTAGCATTTACAACAGATGGGATCTACACAAAGAGTTTTCTTGGAATGTTTACATTAAGGTGCAGTTTCTCAGTCAGTAGGTAGGTACCTATGTACCTAGGCTAAATAGGTACCTTGTATTGTGCAATAATTCATTCGTATACTTACAAGACGCATAAACGAAATATTAAATCGAGAGCACATTGACTACATGTGGATAGTATGGGTGAAGGCTATTTGAATTTTAATGCTATATACACCATATATAGACGTATAAGAAGTAAAAACGTCCTTTCCCCACTTTTACCATAACTTTCTTCTATCTAAAGTGAAAGAAGAAGCAGTAAGTTCATAGACGGTGAAAGCACCGGTGTGCCAAGTAATAAGATTGTTTACCTGCTTGTTTTTAGTTACTGATGTAGTATGGTTCTCTTTTGTTTAGTTTAAGTGCCTACAGTCTTGCGGACTATAGTGTGATAAAAATGCCATTACCTTATTTTAATTTATTTAATTTATTTTGCATTATTGTTTGCTGCGTTCTATTCTTTTCGTCGCCAATACATTGTAGTCAAGTAAGTATAATTGTTTAAACGAACTGTACAGGTGCGTCTTCACTTGGAAGCCGGAGAAAGTAAAAGTATGTCAAGATCAATGGGTTAGGTACTATGAAGTTACGTAATTTGTGTGTCTGTGGTTTTGTATTACAATATTTGTGTGATGGAAACAATCTACTATTGCACAAGTTCAAGATCAAATTCACAAGTGACAATGATGGAGATGTCAACATCTATGGCTAATCGACGATAGCTCATGGATATATCTAAAATGATTGTATAGCCTAATGCACAATCGCACAATGTAAAATCATTTGGACTTTATCGTCTTTATTGCACACATAAAAACCTGTGCCAATTAGGCCCGGTTGTATAATGTTAGTTTAAACTTCAGTTTATAGTTGAATTGTGGGTTAAAGGATTTGATTAGCTAATATTTCACAAGTTGGTCAATCGTATTTCTCAAATCTGTCGGTTAAACCAAACTGAAGTTCAACCGGACATTGTACAACCGGGCCTTAATCCTGATACTTCGTTGGGTCTTGATTGTGTGCAAAATATGTTTTTAGCACGTCTGCTCCTTTTTGATGTACCGGGTGGTAACTTGAACCAGCCACCATATATCCGACTGTGTGACTCAGTGGTAGAGCGTTGGGCTACATAGCCGTGAGGTCAGGTGTCGAACCTGGCTTGCGCTAAAATTTTCATCTGTGGCAGAGATAGGAATGACCTTAGATCAGTTTCGAGCATTCTGCCGACTACTCCGAATTAGGTTTTCCTGGAGTTTTCCTAATTCGTAAGGTAAATACCGGAGTAGACTAGAACAACTTAGGATCTTCTGTAGGGACACCTCTGTAATTGGGCGAAAGCCTGTTGAGGGCCCCGAACAAGAGAGGAACAATAAATAAATAAATAGGAATTTCAATACTGATTTTTTGATTTCTGAATATTGGCTTCCCTAATTATTTTAGCAATAAAGTCTATTTATTGTTGTTTATTGTTTATTTGTTTAGCCAGATACCATACAGAATGCAAGTATTCCAATTACATGGAAATGGGATGCTGTACTTAAGCTAAAACTACATAGTCATTACGATCTAGAACTAATTTAGGTTTTTTGTAGAAAAAAAAATTACGAATCCCTACATATATACTATAACTTTTGTAGGGCTTTGAAATTTGGAGGACACATAGCTTGTTTTATGATAAAAAAGGAGATCATCTTTTGGGCCCGTAAAGTTGAACCGTTTCCAAGATCTCACGATTTCTGAAAAAAACCACCTCTTTTTCAAGGGGATGAAAAATCTATTTTCTTTCATCGTACAGAGGTGCGCAGGGTAGCAAAATTTTCGTAAGGACTTACATTTTAATAATCAAAAATAAAAAATATTATTCCAATAGAAAAATTTTAAGAAAAGCTGCAAAAACCGGGGGTACAGCTTTTAGATATACCGTTTTTGACATAGTAGGTAAATAGCTTTTTTTGTAACTAAATTAACGTATTGGATCCGCGCTAATAAAGTTTTTGAAATCTGTCTTCTCTCTCCTCTTTAATGTTGCTAAAATATTTTCTTTTGTTTTCTAGTGCCTTCATTAATCTTTATTATTTCTTTTTTCTGCCGTTTTACCGCAATAAAAACAATTCGAAGTAAAATCGAATTGTTTTGCTACCTAAATAATTTGTTTTTGTTCACTAACTCTTCTTCCTGCCTATTTTACAGCTGATGCGATTACGCTGAGCCTGTTGATAGTTAATTTACCTACAGGAATTATGAATAAAATCCTCACGAAGTTTATTCCAGGTTTGACATCTCACTGACTTTGGCCGGTAAAACTAACCAACGCAATTGCTTCAGCTATAAAACAGACAGGAAGAAGAGTCAGTGAACAAAAATAAATTGTTCAGGAATCAGGAAGCAAGATAATTCGATTTTATTTCGAATTGCTTTTATTGCGGTAAAAATGCAGAAAAAAGAAATAATAAAGATGTTTTAACTAAAACAGTTGAGCATAAGACAACAAAAGAGAATATTTAAGCAAACATTAAAGAGAAGCAAGAAGACAGATTTCGCAAAAACCTTTATTAACATCCAGCACGTTGATTGATCATGTCAAAAACCGTGTATATCTTAAAACTGTTTTTCCAGTTTTTGGCGATATTCTCGAATTTTTGCATTAGGAATAATCCATCCAAAAAAAGGATTTTTCCGGTTTTTCTAGGAAAATTGGAGGTTATGTGTAAATAGTGCAGATACTAAAGTTGTTCTTTTTTTTATTCTCTATAACTTTTATATTGAACATTTTCGCCTAAAATACATAGTTTTGCCACAAATTGCAAAATACCAGTTTCCGCCCCTTTCAACCCCCGCGATTTCACCCGCTGAAAAATTCTGCTGTTTTAATTATTTTTCCCCAATTTCAAATCATTTCACGAGCATGAAAAACCCGGTTTGAACGGGTAACTAATTTTTTTTGTAAAAAAATATTATATAGTCTGGACTTTGGGAAATGCAGGCGCTTTTGTTTGATTTCATAATTCCATGGCATTACAGATTTTCCTAAACGCGACAGTTTATGATTTTTAAATTTTTACTGTTTCTGAATTTATAAAATAGGAAACAATAGTATGTACGGATTCGTAATTTTTTTCTCTACAAAAAACCTAAATAGACTTTATTTCTAAAATAATTAGGGAAGCCAATAAATTAGCGGAAATAAAACAATTACTATTGATATTCCTATGTTGCGTTCGTCAAGTTACCACCCCAGGATACTATTTTTGCAACTAGTATGCGTCTTTACACTGGTTCTGTTATTATTAAGCTATCGCGGTTATGAATTAGGATTTCGTGGAATTACAATACTACTTATTTACCGTGTAGGGGGAATTTTGTGGCGTAAAAATCCAGTTGTCACTTTCGTCGTGGCCTTATAAACGCCTCTGGTTAATATGGTTAATATGGTATGTCAACAACAATTATAGGGTGCGAACGATTGCTCATTGTCAATGTTAATGAATTGTGGTGCTTGCGAATGGCTTTTAACTTAAAACTTTATTTGAAGGATTATTGTATCCCAAATGAACGTTAAAGTGACGTTATTCTCAAAAATGTTAGCAAAACACGTTTAAGATTTAACGTACAAACAACGTTTCAGTTTCACCAGTATTTAACATTTTGTTGAAGGCAGCATTAATGTTAATAATTCGTTAATTGTTACCTGAAAAATTTGTGTAATAAATTTCAACGGTAATTTCTTTATATTGAAATATTTTCTCCCCTAATTATTTTACAGAAAAGTTGTAAATAAATTTCTTGTAGATTGTAAAGTTCTGGCGTATATTCATGTAACCATTTGTAATTTTTTGTTATTAATAGGAAAACGGAGAAATTAATGAAATTATAAATTAGAATTATAATTATTATAAATCAAATTTTTTTTTCAATAATGTCACGGCACGAGTGATTTTTATAAAAATCATTGGTGCCGTGAAATTATTTAAACAAACATTCGATTTTTACGCAAATACTAAATTCTATTTTTTCCGGTTTCTAAAATTGAAAAATCATAAATGAGGACATGAGTAGACGCAGAACTTTTCAAGCTACAAGAAACCCGTTTACAACTTTGCTCTAAATTAATTAAGGGAGAAAATATTTCGATATAAATAAATTAGCATTGAAATCCCTATGGTGAGTAATTTGCTTCTACACCCTGTATAGATTTGCTATGTCAATATTTGAATCTAAATTCATTTTTAGAAAAAAGGGGATCAACACGTAGTCAGAAATAATATTCAAAACAGGCTTTCGCAACAAAGCTATAATCGTTAAATGAATCTCGAGCAAAGGGAATAATTACAATTCGATTGTATCGAAAATCAGTATGTAATCAAAGGTCCATCAAGGAATCGACGAAAGTAACAAAAATTAACAATATACCTTTCGCAACGGCCTTGTTGAGCTCAATAAGGACACGTTCTGCACATCTGTAACAGACAATAACACAAACAAACAAATAAAAGGGGTAGTGAATTGTGCTGCACAATAAAATATGGCTAAATCTCAATGCTAACGTCTGGCACGAAGGCTAATCGTGTACTAAAAATGTAATTAATACTCAAAAAGGATCAATAATTCGAATGACTTGACACTAGCCAAAGCAAAATTTTGATCGATTACGGCTGTCCTTACAGTCCGGGTATAACCGCATAAAAGTAACGTTAAATTCAAGAAAAATACTGTACGATGCACAAATAACTAAATATTTCTATTCAATAGCAATGCAATCTGATCAAAAGGAAAGATAAACAATATAATGAGCCGAGTCTTCGGAATAAAACAAATAAAGTGACTAAAAATAATTGTAAATATCGGCTTCAGACAAGGCTTCGGTAACTTCGAAAACTTGTTTACAAAGCAACGGTACTAATATTGGTATAACACAGCTAATCTGAAACATACAATGCCATCAAACTAACAGAAGTGAATCTACGTAGGGATCAGTAAAACGCAAACGAAGTCGGGTCTCGGTAACGACAAAAACAAAGTACGTAGCGTCAGGTATAACGGAGTGATATACAACAGCAATGTTCTCCCGTAAATATATTTGCGATTACAATTGGCAGGCAGGTTCGACATTTTTTGATTTTTACTAAAATCGGGAGATTTTGTTATTAAAAAAACCATCAAAAAAATTTGGAGACAAAATATTGATATTTACGTCCGCTGTAAGCATTTAAAAATCAAGGGTCAGCGCGAAGAGAAAAAACGTACCTGTGCGCGAGACTAGACCGCGTGACGTCAGTAGCCAGGAAAAGGAAAATTCGGAATCGTTTCGATGCTCTGCTCCCTAACTCCAAAGCTTTTGTTCCATCGGAGCTTAACCACGCACAGTTTCGTTGTCTTTCAGTGGGAGAGAGCGTACAGATAAAATAGAAATAGAATAGAAGAAGCCTAAACGAGGTAATAATGATACATTCATGCAACAAGGAAATTCCATTATTAAGGAACGAGGTAACGCTCCGCACTGTCAAGTAAAAAAATAAAAATGTGCGCTACCAAGTGGTACTATACACTATACAGCACGAAGAGCGATAGTACGATTGACAAAAAACTTTTTAAGAGAAAGTTTACGATGTTCCATTTACCAAAATTGGTTGAAGATTACAGATTTCAAAGTACGGGGAAAAAATTATCTAATACTTCTGAGGAGGTCAAAGGACCTACGGGCTACGACATAGGTGGTTAGTGTTAGAACCACATAAACATTTTACCTCACGGAGCATTATAGTATAAAGTCTGGGTTTAATGATAGGGGAGCCCACGATGCTAAATGGAAATTTACTCGAGCGTCGTAGGAACCTATTCAACTTTGCAGATTAGATGGAAGAAAGAAAAACAGTTATATGATGTACCTCCCTCCTCCGGTGGGGGGCGCGTCTACACTTTGTTATTACTGTACAAACGAATAGTCACATGAAAACACTCGAGCGCGGCTCAACAGACAGGATTTATTCGCGCGTACGTCTAATTTATGACACGACCTCCTATGATCTCATGCAACTGACATGCTACAACCGCTGAACGCACTGAACCTGATTGACGATTTATTCCACTTTGGCGTGTGGTAATCGGCAAATTATATCAGTTGTTATTCTTGAATCCTTCGAAATAAAAAAAAAATCTAACGCGCTCAAAAATGCCAAGGTAACGTTTTTTTGCGGGTTTGTGACCCTCCCACTCCTCACGTTATTCTCAAATCGTCAGATTATTGAAACGCACACTTTTCACCACGCCGTAGTCAACCCACCTTACTTTATTCTGACACGCTTGAGTAAATCACAAAATCCCCTATTGGGTTGCCCTACTATAAAACATGAATTTTACCGAATGTAAGTACTTCTATTTATAAAACAATTTTGCAAAACTTTTATTACTTATCATGCGAATGTACAGTAATTTATCGTCCTTTATCGTTTTCAGAATATTTCCTACGTCACTATAACAAAACCCATAAAAAGTAACAGATATACCCCTAGCGCGACGGGGAGGCTCTACTTTGGAGAATTATTTGGTCTCTTCGGAGGTGGAACCCAATCAGACGATGAGGATGATGATGGTCTATTCAGAAACTGCACGTGCGGTGGGTTTTTAAAAGAAAGTCGGCAAAATGTGTAATAAACGCCTTTTCTAGAATGCGGTATATCAAATCAAGAAAATAGAATTGTTGGTGGTCAGGCAACTGGCATAAATCGGTACCCATGGATTGCCCGAATTGTTTACGATGGGAAGTTTCATTGTGGAGGCTCCCTAATTACTAAGGATTATGTCTTAACCGCTGCACACTGCGTGAGAAGGTAAGTACCAATAACTCGCAATGGTGAACTCTAAATTTCATTATCAGGTTGCAGCGCACCAAAATTCGAGTAATTCTTGGCGATCACGATCAAACAACCACAACTGAGGCGCCTGCAAAGATGAGGGCCGTTTCCGCAATAATAAAAAACAGAAACTTTGATGCGGATTCGTACAACCACGATATTGCACTGCTCAGATTGAGAAAACCAGTCGTGTTTTCAAAAAATATTAAAACCATTTGCATTCCAAGACGTACGTTTCTTTGCCCTACATTTGTATAGATTTTAAATCTAGCTGCATTGCAGGTTCTGATGATCCCGCGGGTAAGCTTGGTACAGTAATTGGTTGGGGAAGGACTATGGAGGGTGGAATGTTGCCGGGAATTGTCCAAGAAGTGCAGGTGCCAATATTGACATTACAACAGTGCAGAGCAATGAAATATCGAGCGTCTCGGATCACTACGTTTATGCTGTGTGCTGGGAAAGGATCCATGGATTCTTGCCAGGGTGACAGTGGCGGTCCTTTGGTTGTTCCAAATGGGGAGAAATATGAAATAGTGGGTAAGAAATTGTATCAAAATATAAACAGCATCGATCTCATATCCCATCAGCTAGATTTCAACTAATGACAGCAAAGATAGGTATGAAAAATTATCAAAATCCGAATAACTTTGATTTTTATTACAAAGAATTTATCCGAAAATTTGTTGTTTCTTTTGGCGAGATTCAAATGAAACAGTTTTTTGAAGATATCTACTAAGCGAAGACATTTCATTAAAGATAAGCAAAGTTCTCCCGACTGCTGAAGGCTTTCGTTTCGTGATATCTATCTGGATGGATGAAGATTGAAAAATCAACCGCAATGATTTGTGTTTATTACCTCTATCATTACACAGTGACAGGTTTCTTCTTTACTAGCGGTTGTAAATTGAGGTTTTTACCTGAGATGGTTTGGGCTAGCCCTCCTGTTGTTAGCGACCGCCGATTAACTTCGAACCCCTTTTCTATATCAGCCGGTGACTAGCATCGACCGTCTCATCAATCGAAATGGAATACATCATTTTTTAACGTTTATTAAATCGTGGAAAAATAACATAACCTCTTAAGAAATTGGAGTTAGAATGTTTCTCATAATTTTACCAACTTAAAAGTAATCATGAAATATAGGTAACATAATCTTACATTTCGACGAATTTATGTGAACTGTATATTAAGATTGTGGAAAATTTAGGGCTCCCCCCGCAAATGTTTTTGTTGAAAACGCTTAATTAAGCTGGGGGGCTTAATAACGACGCGTAACCCAAAAACCATCAACGTATTTGATACAATGTTTAACAATGCAGAACGTTCGCACTGAAGCCAACTAATTGGTGGTTTCTCTCCTTTCGGAACTGGAAACGAATTCCTCTTAGGTACCTTTGAAAGCGCAACCCTCATAACTTATTCACCAATCACAATTTAAATTTTAATTGTCACTGTCTTCAAACTACATAATATATAAAAATAAAATTCAGTGGAATATCCTCACACTGCCCCCTTAAGTAGTAACAATGAGATTATACACCTCTCCCTTCTTTATTTGGTTACGTTGCAACTGAACCTTTGAAATTTGATTGTAAATCTCTTCACACCTTAAACCCCCAGGTACATTGAACTGCCTACTGCTAACTTACAAACGTTTGGACATAGGCGCCGACTTGACAAAATTTTTGGGGGGGCCCAAACATTTTTACGTACCTGCATAGGGTATCGGGTTACGGGTATAAGTAAAAAAAATTTTTCTTGCTGATTATTCATTTCACTACGTTCACCGCTATTAGCGGCATCAGCATTAGCGGTAGCTGCACTTACACATTTAGATTTCGCGGATCGAATAACAAACTTATCCATTTTGATTTATTATTTTATTATTAAGAATTAAGAATTTAGGAACTAAAACGTAATACGTAACGATAACAATAGAAAATTATTAAAACATCACCATAACCCTAACCGACAACCGTCGACTTTTAACTAAAACCAGCAAGTACGAATTTTTGCATTTTTAAATAATGCACTTATCGTAGTAGGTGTAAGGTGCAGGTACCTATCTTTATCCTTTCTCAGAAAGAAAAACTATGACGTCACATCAGGAGTCAGATTATTGCTTCTTAGAAGTGTCAACGGTTTCCTGCTTACTTGGGACGGTTTGTTATTGCATTTTGCATTGAGGTAGAGGTAAAAAGGTTTATTGTTGAGTCTAAAGTTGATTATGCAGTTTCAAGATTTGGTGTAAGTAACCACGAATACGAATACGGTATATAATTGTCACTTATTCAGAATTAGGGGAGCTGAGCCCCTCCAGTATAAATATTGGAGGGGCTGAAAGTGCTCGGCCACCCCTAAGTCGGCGCCTTTGCGTTTGGATATGCTCTAGAAATTCACACTCGAATTTTATTATTTCACAAACCCATCAAAATTTTGTTCACTCCACACGATTTGTCACTGCACCAAGTGTTTCGCAACCTTCTATTTTCAAATGTGCCCCCAAAAAATAACCATAATAATCGTTTTTATGTGACGCGATGTGATGTGTGCTGGTGACAAGCTTGTCTTTACAATTTTCAAGAAACTAACGTTAATCGCGATCACTTCCACATTGAAATACACACGAAAAACCGCTTAGTGCACAGTTTCCATGTACTTTTCTTGTTGATACACCATTACATTAATGCTACCTGTTATTTAAGACGGAAAACTCATCTAACATTTCGGCATTTCCATATACAGTGAATTTTTTTTAAATGCGAACATAGGAGTTTGCATGCAATGTAATTTCCCTATGTTCGATTTAAAAAAAAAACACCAATCTATTGCGTAGTTCAAATGAGTAGTAGATACAATTGACAGCTGTTACATTTTTAAAAATACCGCCGTCCAATTTAATTACGAAATCGATTAAGTTATTGCTTAAAATGTCAAGGAGGACACTTCGAACATTATTGTAATTGTTTTCGGTATTTATTTTCTTATTTCCTTCATTTATGTATTGAATAGATCAAATTAGTACAATACCAGGTGCACATGACCTACAAATAATTGAAGGTTGGTTCACAATGAGTTGTGGTGTCAGCGCGTGGCCTGTGAAGTCAAGTTATCGTAAGTTTAAGAAAAATGTATCCTAAAGTTGCTATGGCCTCACATGGCTTCTTTAAAAAAATCTTACCGAGTGCTCTTCATCATAAAGGCTATAGAATTGCTGTTCATAGTCACACAAGTTGCGCGATTTGGGAATGTGAACCGCGCACATCTCATAGATTGATGTGTTTTTTTTAAAATAGAACATAGGGAAATTACAGTGCATGCAAACTCCTATGTTCGCATTTTAAAAAAACTCACTGTATGTATCGTCCTTGGCACCAACGATTTACCTCCCTGCAATTTTCTCGCAACGTAAGAGTTAACTTGAAATCACCCCCACAGAGACTAAAAATTAAACCAGCCCGCATTTAATAAAATGTTGAGATCCACGCGCGCCCAGCATGTCAGCGCCAAGAATTGATGATTGGTAAAACTCTTCGCTCCGCACCGGAGACGATGCAAACTTTGCGGATGGCTACTTCCACGTTCGAACTTGGTCTGTTTTCAGGAGTGTACAAAACTGTAACCTGATGTTTACAATATGCGATACGTTTGATTTTACTAAAAGAATCGTTGGCTAAAATTTCAAAGAAATGTCTTCATAGTTCAGAAAGCTGCAATTGCGCAGTCTGATTTTTGCTATATGCGATACCTATGTCTGCCTTTATTAGAAGTATGTGTGGTTAAAATTTCAAGAAAATATATTAATAAATAACAAAGTTGATATTGCGCAGCCTGATGCGCATGCCCACATTAATCGTGAAAATATTTCTTGGCTCAGGTGCCAGAGCTATAAGCTACCGAATTCAAAAAGAACGAACTAAATATAGGTATTGAAAACTACTGTAGGAGTAGTTAAGGGCTCGGACGGACAAACAGACGGACAGACAGAGACAGTGACTGCAATAGCGCACCCAACTTCGTTGGAAAAAGCGCAAAAAAACAGGGATTTACTAGCAGTTACATGCTCAAATCGACGGAGAGCACGGAAGATAAATCCTAAAGTACGTAGAGCCGACTTCGCAATTAGTTGGATGTGCATAGAAAATCAAGGTTATGTGGAAAACGAACACCCAAGTCTTTAAATGGCACACACCTAGTTATTAGCACTGAGTTTAACTTGCAATTAAACAACACTGGTCGGGTTTTCTTTGAGTAGATATGATAGAAAAAGTGACCGGTCCCAGGAATTGATTTTAAGTATAGTTTCCTAAAAACGTTTAACAAACGCTTGTGGTGGACGACCCGTACATATGTATTTTTTCTAGTTTTGGACGATCAGGGTGGATTGATTTTTTCATATACAAAGGCCCTCAGATACCAAGTTTCTTTGAGACCAGAATTTTAGAGGTGCGCAATATTAGCGTATGGATTCTCGAATAATTTTACAACAAACAAATCAGAAATCTCATTTCCTATAAAAAGTAAACAAGCGCCAATACTGAAAATGTTTGAACCTGCCTATTATAGCAACCTGATTTATATGTTACGCTTTGTATGGACGTTCCGGCATCACTTTATTATGAATGAACACAATAATCGTAACTTGCTCCCATGTCAATAACTCTCTTTGTCAGAGAAAAGATGCATTGTATATCTGATAGTTTTATGTGTTCAGTAACAATTTCTATTTTCCAGGGATCGTGTCGTGGGGTATTGGATGCGCACGTCCCGGTTATCCTGGTGTATACACACGTGTTGGAAAGTACATCAGTTGGATAAGAAGCAACGTGCAGGATTCTTGTTTGTGCAGCTGACGTCGACTACTTAACCTTTATTTACCTGTGTAATTCCGATCTATAGAGTACAAAATAATATTTGTTTCCAACCGTCAATACACCCATACCATTTTCAGTAAACAAACGCTGAAAAGTTAAAATACCGTAATTATTTTTAGCTATCGATTTTCACGGTTAAGAATAAAGTTTGTATGCGTCACATCGTTCCGAATGGCAAAAGAAATACAATTTTCCAATACATACATACTTGAATTGGTACTTATAAATTGTTCCTTTAGTATTCCCATTTGCAAAGTCTATAATAACACTAGTTAAATAAATTTCATCATTATTCAATACAAATAATTTCTGTCTACAGCCAGTCGCGTTTTAAGATTGATTGCAGGTAGGTACATGTAGGGATAATTTCCATTATTCATTAATGAAGGTGGTTAAAGGTTGATTCTACGCCCAAAGAATACAATGGGGTTCACAGACTACGGGGCCCCAAAAATGAGTAGAGAACACTACCTTGCCCTAGTTGCGGTGTTTTTGAGATGACATTTAGATTTTATGGGGCATTCAGGAGCGCGGTACCATTTCGGCCCGCAAAGTCAGAAGGTAAAATGTGCGCTTCTATAAGAGATGTTATACAGCACAAAGTGCCCATTTCACGCTATTTTTGCTTAAAGCAGCATCAGTATAGAAACTGTAGTGGTAGAAGTTCCCAGTTCCCACTGCCATAAATTGTGATTTTCGTTTACACTTCGGGGTTAAAAGCTGAAACCAATTTTAAATGATGCATGATCATTTGAAATATCGAAATCCAGAAGGCGTCAAAAATCGTCCTGTACGGGGTGGCTCTAGAGGGTAAATTGTACAAAACACCCCAAATTTTTTTTTGCATATTTTGAATTTATTTAATATATACTTTGCACTGCCCATAGCTCAGGTATGTGACACCGATACAAATATTTATTATTTAGTGTTTTTTACGATCGAAAAGCACGGGATTAAATGAGGAATCTTAACTTTCGCCGGCGTCTAACGAACTCGACCGTAATATTTGGAAAAATTAGCGCTTCAACTCGTCGTATCTAATTTATTTGCATCCTGATCAAAAAATATCCATTAATAACGTTGTAGAGCGTATTCTGGACATTCTGAACCACTATTTGTAAATCACTTTACATTACCGAAAAGTTTTGTATCGATTTATTTATAAACGCGCGCCTATGACTGAGTAAGGACGATTATCGCTTGCGCATATGCATACACGCGGTTTATAAGGCAGAAAGTCGCGTATCTCCCTGCTTGTGTATATTAAAAACCTTCTGGATATTAAATATTCCAGTCAACTTGTTTATTTTTTTAGATGCAAATTGTATACTGTATGATTATTTAACATTAACGCAAATACTTAATCAGAATCTAGTTCCGATTCGGATGCCTCTTGAGATGTTTTCGAAATAATCTGATTAAGTTTTTGCAAGTGGGCTTCCGTCCCATACATTTACAGGAGCTAATGCACGGTAATTGCTTTTTTGAGCACGAACAATGAAATCTGGAACATCCTAAAAAATAAAACTATGTAAAATAATACAAAGACAAAATGTAATTAACAAAAACCTTTTCTGCAGTTACATTTAGCCAAAATAGATGTATCAGCAGGCATTGATGGTCATGGACCACTACCATGAAAAATCTATCAAAGATTGCACATTTGCACGCGTACAAAGAGAACCTCGCAAGAGGAAAATATAAAATGTACAATTGACCATGTATCTACAGATGTGGCATTTATTTATTCATTCCTCGTTTAACAAGCAAGAATTAACAGATTTTTTATGTCGTCAGTTATATGAGTTTTCGAAAGATTCTAGTTTAACATTTGTAACCAGTGGAGGATTCAAAGACGTTACTGAATATAGATCAAATTTTCCTCTTTGTAGTGATTTACTTGCCTCTTCACACGAAGAAGCAGATACCAGAATCCTACTGCACATTCTACAAGCAAAATTAGAAGGATATTCAAGGTGTATTATTGACTGCAGAGATACCGACGTTCTTGTCTTACTTGCTCATTTCAAAAACCGTCTCGCCGAGGAAGTGTGGGTAAAAGTTGGAACGAACGACAACGTACGGTTTATAGCAGTACACGAACTAGTCATTTCCCCAAGTCTATTGACAAACTTGCCTGCATTTCACGCAATTACTAGTTGTGATTCTACAAGTCAATTTGTTGGACTTGACAAAACAACATGCTGGAAAATTGGTTGGTTGTATCAGGATTTGCTAAACGGTGTTGGATCTTCGTCGTGTAATGAAGATACATTCAATAATAAATATGACTCAATTTGTCATTAAATTATACACAACTTCTGATATAAGTTGTATAAATAATAAATCGTTTACGCTGTATCATGGTTTCTTCACATTCTATCCACAAATTGCCACCTACTGCAGGTATCTTTATCAGCACTTTTTACGCGTGAATTATCAAAAATACATTTGGCTGAACAGTCTTAACCCAAAACCGTCTCTACCAGATCCTCTGGAAAATGGTTGGAAAATTGTTGGGAATAATTTTGTTTCAGTTCTTACAACGAAACCATCAATGCCTGCAGCTGATACATCTATTTTGGCTAAATGTAACTGCAGAAAATGTTTTTGTTAATTACATTTTGTCTTTGTATTATTTTACATATCTTTATTTTTTAGGATGTTCCAGATTTCATTGTTCGTGGTCAAAAAAGCAATTACCGTGCATTGGCTCCTGTAAATGTATGGGACGGAAGCCCACTTGCAAAGATTCTTTCACGAAAAACTCTCAAGAAACATCCGAATCGGAACCAGATTCTGATTAAGTATTTACGTTAATGTTAAATAATATATTAGTATAAAATTTGCATCTAAAAAAATAAACAGATGACTGGGATATTTAATATCCAGAAGGTTTTTAATATACACAAGCAGGGAGATACGCGACTTTCTGCCTTATAAACCGCGTGTATGCATATGCGCAAGCGATAATCGTCCTTACTCAGTCATAGGCGCGCGTTTATAAATAAATCGATACAAAACTTTTCGGTAATGTAAAGTGATTTACAAATAGTGGTTCAGAATGTCCAGAATACGCTCTACAACGTTATTAATGGATATTTTTTGATCAGGATGCAAATAAATTAGATACGACGAGTTGAAGCGCTAATTTGTCAAAATATTACGGTCGAGTTCGTTAGACGCCGGCGAAAGTTGAGATTCCTCATTTAATCCCGTGCTTTTCGGTCGTAAAAAACACTAAATAATAAATAGTTGTATCGGTTTCACATACCTGAGCTATGGGCAGTGCAAAGTATATATTAAATAAATTCAAAATATGCAAAAAAAAATTTGGGGTGTTTTTTACAATTTACCCTCTAGAGCCACCCCGTACAGGACGATTTTTGACGCCTTCTGGATTTTGATATTTCTAATGATCATGCATCATTTAAAATTGGTTTCAGCTTTTAACCCCGAAGTGTAAACGAAAATCATTTCTAAACGACTTTGGCGATTCTGTGCCCTCTACTATA